TATTCTGAAAAGAAGAGGATTTCTGCAGACAACCAATTGATGGTTGGGTTGTGTGCTCTTAGCCAGGGCATGCCAAAAATAACTGGAAATATCGGTGAAGTAATGATATCCAGACACAGAAATTCCTGGTGTCCCGAGGAGGAGTAGCATAACATTGGCATGGTCTCTTGTGTCACAGGACCAGAACTGATACCGGACCCATCCGCTAGATGAACCGAAAGTCTTCGTGCCTTGGTACAGAACAGAATCCTATTCTTGGTAGCGAAGTTTGCAGCCATGAAACAACTACAAGCACCCAAGTCTATATAATGGCCGGGACCGTGATCGTCCTTTCGGCCAGTTGTAGTTGAAGATGGAAGGAGAGATGCGTTCGGCTTGTTCGTTGGGGATGCATCATATAGAACCAGTTGGGAGAGGGCTTATGAGGTCTGATTGGACACGTCACTACATAATGACCTGCGTCACCACAGTAGAGACAGAGATTGAACTTCCGTCGTCGAATACGTTCTGCAGCGGACAACTGTGGTCTTCAAAGGCTCCTCCTAGATGGATTAATATGTTTTCCTTGGTTAATGGGTAACTCTGATGGAACAGCATTCGTAGAGGGCACCGGGATCCCTACTTCTGAACATATCAGAATCTCCCCGTTGGTTTTCTCATCCTGTCTCTCCCGAATCCGACGGTCAATGTGGATCGTCAGGTCTATCAGGTTCTCCAGCCTGGTTGGTACCCCCACTCGGGCAAGCTCATCTTTCAGGGTGTCGGAAAGGCCAAGACGGAACTGGTAGCAGAGAGCAGACTCATTCCATTGAGTATCGGAACTCCAGATGCGGAAATCGGTAACATATTCTTCCACAGGCCTTGCAAAGCATAGATTCAGCGGTTTGACGCAGGAAAGGATCAGCATAGATTTGTGCCATTGCTGTGAAAAAAGAGTCCACCGAAGTTAGAGCCGGATCATGTTGCTCACTAAGGTGGTGTGCCCAGGATTGCGGTTCATTCCTTAGAAGTGTGATGATGAATCCCACTTTGGTGTTTGGTGATGTAAAGGTCTTTGGAAGCAGCGAGAAATATAGCTCGCAGGAGTTATGAAAAGTTCTGAACTTCCTGCGGTCTCCTGTAAAAAAACTTAGGCGTAGGCACCCGGGGTTCCAATAGAGAAGGGGTTCCAAAGATCACACTGGGCTCTGTTTGAGTGGTTGCATCTAAGGCTGCAGTGAGATCTGTGTCTGTGGGGTCATTAGACTCAGTTAGCAGTTGACTCTCCAGATGCTCAGATTGTCTCTGCAAATCTTGCACCAAGTTAAACAAGGCAGATACTGATTGGCAAATGTCCCCCAATGGAGAGGCTTCTCTTTCAGACTCTATCATTGGCTGACTGGTACTGACATGTACCTGATGGGAGACTGAAATGACGAGGTCGGCCTCACTTGTGTCATTAGCCCTGACCCCGCTGGAGTTGGAACAGAGGGAGTCTAGGACCCAAGGGAACAAGAGTGCCAGTAGTTGTTGTTTGCAGCTCTTGCAGATGATGACCTTGGAAGGCTGATGATCCTCTGATTTTGGCACAGTAGTAGTAGGCAGAGCAGGTTTTGTAGATTGCCAGGCATGCACCAGAGCAAGGCAGGTAGTGAGGACAAGAGACAGGAGCAGTGTCATGGAATAGCCAGGGTCATCAACCGTCAGGCAGCATGGTACAGAATCAGAAGGAAAAGCCAGGAAGAGTCAGGTGAGGAACAAGCCGGATCAGCAACAAAGGAATCACACAGGAACAAGCAGGACTCGGGGGGGGGGCTGAAGACCAGTCAGCACTGAACATGAGCAGAGACACTCCTTAAATAGGCCGTCTGGCGCCAATCTTTGCCGTGTGTGTGCACGTGCGCGTAATCGCTCATTTCTGCACGCATGTGCACAACCGGCAATTCTCCTGCGGGAATTCCTATGTGCATGCGCATTTCCGATCGCAATTCGTATTGCTGGAAATCCCTTACACTGACCAAGCTAAAGATACTGTAATTATTAATTGTAAAGAGCCTTGGTGCAGTAGGTATAATGTTCCAGACCCACAAGAGCCAAAGGCCTTCATCTAGAGATCCAATGAAGTGATTAAGCCTTTATAGCGATGCTGATTTTAGATGAATATTGCCACTTATAAACAATTTTGTGGTTTCTCAATGCCTTAGTGATGGTTGTCAAGTGTCTGTTGCTGGATGTGCTGGAAGAAGTCTGGAAGTACTTGAAGTTTAACTGCTTGTTCAGGAAGGTTATCTACGCGACGAAAGGCTTCTAGGATTTTCTCTTTCACCTGAAAAAGTGTATTTGCAGCAGCACATCTCTAGATACCTCAGTTGGTAGAAAGAATGGTTTGGGGACTCTGTGTACCCTGTCGATAGTGAGATCTGAAGGAAACAGTAATGAAATAACCACCTTGAATAAATCTCGAACATAATGAGCAAGTTGGTGTAACTGGATAGACTCGGGTACCCCACAGATTTTTCTACCCAAATGAAACAAACGGCAATAAAACCTAAAAAATGGTATAACCCTTCTTCACTCTAACCAAAAATTATAAAAAATTATATTTTTGCTGGAGTTGTGTCAAAATGAAACGGTTCCTTTTTAAACGTTTAATCCTTTTTACTGCCATGGACAAATTTTACATCCATGGCAGCACATTCCTGTAAACTCTCTGGAATCTATTTACTTCTCTTCAGCTGGCTGTTGGCTTTCTACAGTAGTGGAAGTGATTCAAGTGACTGTAAAGCCTTATCACTTCCACACATGCTGCAAGATGCTTTCACCAATCCCCCCTTCCCCACTGGATCTCATTACCATTTGTCCCTGGTTCAGTTGCCCCTTCTGAGCACATGGAATTTCCATGGCAGTTGTTAGAAAAAATGGAGAATGATCAGGGAACATCTCATATGGTCCTTGCACTGAATGAAGCTGGGAGCAACACACATTTCTTGTCACTTCCAAGTTCAGAGCTGTCGTTCCTCAGCTGGTGTCACCGGGAAAGAAGTTGATCAACTACGGACCTGCCAGAAGGTAGGTGCGGTTTGTTTTCTCCACTGCAGGTGGCACTTCAGCCTGGAGAGGAAGTCCAAGAGAACCAACATTTCTCTATGGTTTCCTAGGTCAATGGAGCAGCATTCGGGTTGGTTATGCCCATGTGACCCTCGGATGCCATCTTGGGTCAGCAGGATCTAGTTCAGTCCCCGGGTTTTGGCATTCTTCTGGCACGTGACTAGTGTAGGGAGAGCAACCCTGCTTGTTAGGGAAAGTAACTAGTGGTAGGGAAAGGTTCCTGATGAGGAGGGAAATGGTAGGTACTCGCTGTCTTGAAAAGGAGCTTCCCTCTTGGGACTGGACTGCCCATTCTGCGCTTCACCCTCTGAAACAGATGCTGTTTGCTCCTCTCCTCCTTTACATCTGACTACATTGAACTGTGATTTGTTTCCCCAGAAATGCTCTCCCACCCGGTTGTTTGTAATGTTGGGAATCTGTTTGATGCAAGTTCCAAATTTTACTGCAACCGGACTCTGTGTATTTACTACCCGCAGCACAGTGCAACTTCCCACCTGCCATGTCAATTGTGCTATCACACAAGGGGATTGTCAGCCTCCTTGTTATAGCAAAAAAGTTAAGTGAATAAAATGTTAAGCTTATAAAAGGTACAGCAAATCAACAAATAAAGCAAAACGTGTTTCTACATAGGAAAACAACATTTGCGTCACATATAATAATTGCTGTGAATGTCTAAGTGAGAGCAATAATTCTAGGGACATCATTCATGGTTAACTCTAAATTGACTACCTGTATGGGCTTTTAAAGTTTCACCTCTGGAAAATTTGGGGTACCAAATATTAAACCATTGCACTAATATCATGTAATATGACGTGACATAAAAAAATGTAACTACTACCAGTTTCTCAGCATTAAAGTAAAAAAAATCCCAGTATATACTGTATGCTACTCCTGTCCCCAAACACTTACCTGCTGTCCTTGCCGCCACCTCAGGGGAAGGATCAGTGCTGTTCCCTAAACTTTCTTGATCCAGTGCGCATGTGTAGTAGAGTGATAGTCTCCTGCAGCCATCAGTCAGATTGATGAGAGGAGAAGACAGCAGGGAGGTGACTTTCTGGGTGTTTGTGTGTCTGTGGACACACACAGATTGGTTCAGGAACCTGACAGGGGCACACACACATGTATGTCTCCTTAGCAGCCAAACAGTGAAAGGAGATACCCACAAGCAGGGAGAAGGGAAAAGCGCCCCCCAAAAATACTTTACTGAGCCCAATCTTGATCCAGCACTGTGCTGCTCTCCCACCTCACTAAACAAGGAGGCATCAGTGGGAGCCATTGGCTCCTGCTGCTGTCAAATCCTGTGAGTTAGGGCGAGGCTAAGCCATGCTGCACTGTGTGTGTGTCAATGGACACACATAGCCTGGCTCAGAAGTGAGCCTTCACATGTGCCCCCATAGTAAGTGGCTTGCTATGGGGGCATTTGGAAGGGATGAAAAGCCAGAAGCACTAGCAGGGGACCCCAGAAAAGGCGGAAAACAACAAAAAAAATATTCTGAACCAATGGACTGCAGACACAGTACAGGAAATGACCAGAGACTGTGGACACAGTACAGGAGATGACCAGAGACTGCAGATATACTACAGGAGATGACCAGAGACTGTGGACATAGTACAGGAGATGACCAGAGACTGCGGACACAGTACAGGAGATGACCAGAGACTGCGGACAGTATAGGGAATGACCAAGAGACTGCGGACATAGTACAGGGGATGACCAGAGACTGCGGACAGTACAGGAGATGACCAGAGACTGCGGACAGTACAGGAGATGACCAAAGACTGCGGACAGTACAGGAGATGACCAGAGACTGCAGACATAGTACAGGAGATGACCAGAGACTGCGGACACAGTACAGGAGATGACCAGAGACTGCGGATAGTATAGGGAATGACAAGAGAATGCGAACATAGTACAGGGGATGACCAGAGACTGTGGACAGTACAGGAGATGACCAGAGACTGCGGACAGTACAGGAGATGACCAGAGACTGTGGACAGTACAGGGGATAACCGGAGACTGCGGAAAGTACAGGGGATAACCAAGCGACTGCGGACAGTGCAGGGGATGACCAGAGACTGTGGACAGTACAGGGGATGACCAGAGACTGCGGACAGTGCAGGGGATGACCAGAGACTGCAGACAATGCAGTGGATGACCAGAGACTGCGGACAGTACAGGGGATGACCAGAGACTGCGGACAGTACAGGGGATGACCAAGAGACTGCAGACATAGTACAGGAGATGACCAGAGACAGCGGACAGTACAGGGGATGACCAGAGACTGCAAACACGGTGCAGGAAATGACCAGAGACTGCGGACACGGTGCAGAAAATGACCAGAGACTGCGGACAGTGCAGGAGATGACCAGAGACTGCGGACAGTGCAGGAGATGACCAGAGACTGCGGACAGTGCAGGAGATGACCAGAGACTGCGGACAGTATAGGGGATGACCAGAGACTGCGGACAGTATAGGGGATGACCAGACACTGCAGACAGTACAGGGGATGACTAAGAGAATGCGGACCTTTGGGGATGGAGGGGGAGCGGGTACCTGAATTTGACAGGTACCCGCTCCCACTTCCGCAGCCGGGTGCCCAGTGCGCATGCGCGCGAAGCGCTGCGCTTTGTGATTGGTCCGGCGCCTTCTTGGACCTGTCATGTGTCCCAGAAGACGCCGTACTATTCACAAAGCGCAGCGCTTCTCGCCCATGCGCACTAGGCACCCGGCTGTCAAAGCCAAGAGCCCACACTAAAGATGCCGACGCGGGAAGCCTTCGCAGCGCTGGACCGAGGAACAGGTAAGGTCCTGCTGCAGAGAAGAGACGAGTGGCCGGCCCTGTATTCTGACATGGCGGCGGTGGGAATACCGGACTGTTCGCTCCATAAGACGCACTGACATTTTTCCCCCCTTTTTTTGGGGGAAAAAAGTATGTCTTATGGAGCGAAAAATACGGTAAGTATAACATAACATGCTTATTATTAAAAGCAATAAGAAAAACTTTAGAATCATTTTAAGCAAATCATTTTTTGAGAATCTGTTGCAGAGTTTCTTACCTGGAGATCTAGCCAGTAGCCACTTCTTCTTGCATGCAGACACCGCTAAGTCACTGCCACACTATTACTGACAATAGTTTCAGCCTACTGTGGGAGATGCTTCAATTGTCTGTTGGGCTTTCTGATAAAACTGATAGGTAGCCCAGAGGAAAACCAAAAGGAACATACAGGAAGGCTTACAGCTCTGTGGCTAATTATGAGGCATCTGAACTGCATTGTCAACCTGCAGCAGGAAATACCGTTACTAGCAAGATCTCCAAGTGAAAACTCTGCAACTATCCCCAACAACAACATGCTTAAAACATTCAGTGAGGCATGTTGCCAAAATTACTGAAAAATAGATTTACGTAAAATTCAAAGAGAAGGCTCCACAATATGCATATGAATACCTCTATTAGCTGAAGAAGTCTCTCCTTTGCTTTACCTTGATATAGTTTTACCTTGTTAATGGGGATAACCTGATATGTAAGAACTCAAATAGCTGTCTGTTGTATCACCTTTTTCTGAGATTTTGCTTTGTAACTAAGGCATTTGAGTTGATTTACTAAAGGACTGGAAACTTGACGTAACTTAGTGAATAAAGTGTTTACATGCTTATCTGATACACTAAACATTTTCTTACTTTAGTAACTCAACCCCAGAATCTTTCTAAATAAAGACATGCCATCAAGAATTTAGCCTTGACATACTGATATGTAGTATGGTAAAGGTTCTTTTGTTCCTAATTTAACCTCTAATGTTTCAATATGTACTCACACGTCTTCATGCCAGTGTTAGCCTCATATAAATGTGGGGCCCGGTTTTCTCTATCCTCCCTTCCTCCAAACACCGGAAAAGTATTTTGCTTGCCCATTTCAAAACTAACATTGCTTTTTCCATATTAAACTGATAAATAATGGACAACGACCAATGCAGTTACTGGCTGCTGTATGGTATAAACATGATGCATGAACAGATTAGTATTGGTATTTGTTCAGATATCAAACGGAGAATACTAGTCAAACAGAATGGTCTACTCACACATAGCTGTATATGCAATGCATATGCAATTTGAGTGAAAAAGCACTCAAGGGACTTGAAAGGGACACAAAAGCAAGTAGATCGATATAGTGTGTGACTAATGTCTAGTTGGGGCATAGCCCCTTTTTCAAACAGACAATACAGTCTATGCCATCATTACCATCTTTCATGCAACTCATATATTTATTCAGGGCATTACAAGAATGATTTGTTAGATATGGCCTACCCAAACAAATCAAATATATATCATATTTATATTTTTAACCTGCCTGCTCACCCCAGTGTCCCCTTTAAAAGTTCTTAACGCTCAGGGGGGCAGGAAGGATTGACAATCATGTGACCACTGTTATTGGCTGTCAAAGGAGCTGAAACCAGTCCTGCCGGCTACCAGTGTTTAGTTGTGACAGAGTGGTTTTCGGCAGCTTTGTCTTTGTGCTGGGAGTATGCGGTGAGCATGCTCCCAACACATAAATGTTGCCCACTCAGCGGCGCATGTGTGATGTGTGGGCGTTAAAGCCCACCTTTTTGCCACCGCACACGTGTGACTGGGGTGTTAAACTCGCAACACATTTTATGGGGTTAAACTTGCAAATATTTGTTTTGAAGCATAAAACACATATTTCAACACTGCAGCCTCTAAGGTAGAGAGCTATTTTCTGGTATTTTCATTAGAGTTGAAAGAGTTCATTAATCTTCCTTCATGTAGCTGTCATACCAAATATAAAGCATATTCAAAGTGAGAACGTTTATTGGAAAAAAATATACATATACATTATATATCTCTGTATTGTTTGATATTTGTTTTATCACCCATACCTGCTCTTTTCTTTCCATATTGTGTACCATTTAAGGAACTTCTTAGTACTGTGTAGTTTAGGGTGCAAGCAATACTGTTGTCCTCTAAGTCGTGAAACATGCATGGTCACACTAAAAGAGAACACAAAAACAAATACATATGTGATTAATCATTATTCAGTATATTTTATATATAAATTGATAGCTTTGTGCTATAGAAAATCAGAAATGTTTAAGTTGCAAAAAAACACGGGGTCTACAGTTTGTTAATGGAAGGCAGATAGAAAATACACAAATGAATAAGGCTCTGTAATCCTGAACATACCCTTAAGGGCTTGTTTAAACTATCTGACCACTGTTATTTTGCACTGGATAAATGCAGGTTACCACTAGGGTGTGAAGTGTGGTGGGATGAGCTGTGTAAAAATGCAGCACGTCTGCATTTTTCCACAGCACACTAGATGCTGTTTTGCAGTGACATGAATGATGTGTCAGTACGTGAAACCTAAAAAAGAACCTAAAGAAGAAAAATAAATGGAGCCAGCACTGTCACTAGCTTCACAGTAAAACATTTTAGCGTTTTGTGAATGAATAGACTTCAAGTACCTCCTTTGCGGTTCATGGCTTGTAGTACTCAATGAACCATCATAGCACTGGTGAGCATCATCATAGTTCATTATTCTTCCTGGGTTGAAGTAACTGCCTTCCCCTATCGAGGTGCAGAATGACCGCTATACTGACAGTCTGTAGGATCCTGATATTTCACCCATGATCTTCTGATCATAGGTGTAATGCTTTCCAAGTTCCCAGGAAAAAAAAAAAAATTGTAAATGAACTTATCACTTGCCAACTGTTCTCTAGCCAAAAGATGGCTACAGCATGGGCATCTATTTCTGGGAGGGCATCTGTAGTGCGAGGAGACGTTTCACCATACTGTCAGATGGAGGAGGGGTGGCTGGCGCGGCTGCAGTTATGGGGAAAAAAATGGGTGGAACATGTAACATGTTCCCAAAGGTGAACATATCCTTTAACCACTTCCAGTCCGGACACTTTTACCCCCTTCCTGTCCAGGGCAATTTTCAGCTTTCAGCACTATCACACTTTGAATGAAAATTGCGCGGTCATGCAACACTGTACCCATATGAATTTTTTACCATTTTTTTGAGACAGATAAAACTTTATTTTGGTGGTATTTATTCACCGCTGGGATTTTTATTTTTTTTGCTATGTAAATGAAAATGTCCAAAAAGTTTGAAAAAAAGTGTTTTCCTTATAAAATTTGGCAAATAAATAATATTTCAACATAAATCCTGGCCAAAATTTACTCCGTTATCTTTTTAGTAAAAAAAAAAAAATAAGCCAAATTAGTTTTTAACCAAAAATTATAATTTTTAAAAATTTGTTTTACATTTTTATTTTTTTTATATTATTTTATTTTTATTTTTTTTACATACTGTCACCCTAGCAGTACAGTGTCACAATGGTGACAACTGTACTACTTTTGGGGGTGTGATGAAAATTTTTTTTTTTTTTACACTGATTGCTTTTACACCCATATAGGGTGTAAAAGCAATCATTTCTCTTTCTCTCTGTCTGCATTCTTGCAGCCATTGAGAACTACTGAGTGAGCTGTGATTGGTCACAGCTTGTCACATGGTACAAGGCTGTTGTGAATAGCCTTGTACCATGTAACCTCTGTGATCATTCACAGATTTCACACGTAGTAAGCAATGATGTCAGAAGTGACATCTTGCTTACTACTTTGCATGTGATCACTGATTGGCCAATCAGTGATCACATGATCGGGACCTCGTACAGATGTCTCGTCCGACGATCGGTGTTTCACTGTGTCCGGAGGACACAGCGGGCACCGGATCGCGGTGCTGCGCGCTCCCGAGGAGCGCGCACAAGCAGGGTGCAGGGAGGGCCGTTTATAAATGGCCACCCAACCCTGCAGTGCCACCGTCCGGCCGTTTATATACAACGGCCGGACGGGAGGTGGTTAAGCTATAATGTGCTAGCATACAGCATACTAACACATTATGACAGACTTACCTATAGAACGCACCAGCTACACTGCTGACAGGAATTCCATCCTCACTGGGCCTTCCTTTGGGGTTCATGGGCTCCAGTCATTTGATTGGCTGTGCCAAGATGACATAATTTCTGCGCATGTGCACTGGAGTCATGGCCATGACACAGAGCTCTGAAGGGACAGCATAAGTATGCCGTACCTTCAGAGCGATGTCACTGGCTGCTGCTGACTGGAATATCTCTAAAATGATGCACGTTAAGGAGGGATTCATTTTACCTACAGGTAAGCATTTTTATAAGCTTACCTGTAGGTAAAAATTGGAAAAGCTTTACACTCATTGGCTCCTTCTCTACATCATTTTTTCCAGGCTTGCAGCTCTTGAAACTAAGCTGTGGTGATGTAAATTGGCCCCTCCTACAGGCTTGAGACAGGCTTAATGTCATGAATGGATTTGGAATGGAAAACGTTTATTGAAAACTAAGTGTAGCAAGGTGATCAGAGAAGTAATTGGTTGTTGAGACAATATATTATTTATCAGATTATACGTCATCTTTAAAGTGAAAATGTAAGCCAAAGCTGATGATTATGGTGAAATCTAACATTTTATGGACTGCACCAAG